CTTTAAATTGAAGAATAAAGTCTCGCACGGCGACTTAAAAATAAAAATGGCCAACTCTCAATCAAAACTTGTAACGGATCGGCCGGAAAATAGCCATCCGTTGTCGAAAATTTTTATTCATTACATATATTAATCGGTACATATAAATACCGGAAAGAGAAGCATAACACCAACTCATACAGTCTTAATAAAGTTTCCACATATCCCTCTAGCACCTCGTCTTATCGCCCGGGTTAACTCCAAGCTGTCGACAATAGTCCGTGTAGTAGTTAACTCGGGCAGTGACTGTATCAGCGTTCCCCCCATTGCACTCCATGCTGTTAATGGCCCGAATCGTGGACCCAAAGCCCTCGGACACAATCCTCTTGTGGCAGTTATTCATCCAAAACCAAAGGGCCGCCTTGAATGCTATAACTGGGTCTTTACCCACAACGTCCGGGTCGTTCAGCCCGTTGAACCCAATGCTCTGGCCCGCCGGCCCGTAGTTGAAGTTCCACGACAGCTGTAACGGGCCTCGACCATAATATCCCTTACCCGGCACGCATGGGTACACCGTGTTAGTTTTGTCGCAATAGTCTCGGGATGCGCCGTTTATCTCCTCTATATAGCAAAAATCTACATTTTTCCGAAAAAAATGTTAATTTTAATTTTTTGTTTCATGTGTTATTTATTATTTTGGTTTTTCGATAAACTTACGGCCGGTCTCGTGCGTGACGTGCGCGAAAAACGCGGCAATCTCGCGCTTGGAGTCGTCTGGTGTCCCGATTTTCCCGAACTCGGGGTAAGATCCGACTGCCTGTCGAAAAGCGGACGGAGTGTAAAATCCTCGTCCGGGGCAGTCGGATCGAGCCTGACTGATTATCCCGTTGAAAAAGGCGTCAGTCACGATATTATCAGAAGACTGTGGGTTGTTGTTGTTGTTATTGCTGTTGTAACACTTGCCCTGCTGGCAGCCGTCGCCGCAATACGCGTCGCCTGTGCCGCAGTAGCCGAACTTGCTGCAGCACAGGTTGGCGGCGCAGCCGCAGTTCTGGGCCGAGGCCCATTGGGCCCCGGTAGCCAGAAGGAGGGCCAGGGCTAGTAGTGTGTGGAGTGGGAGAAGAGATTTGTTTGTGGTGAGGGAGTTCATGTTGTGGGGATTGAGTGAATGGAAGGGGAAGGGTGATGGGGTATTTATAATGGGATGTAGAGGTATTGGCATTTGGCCAGCCATGGTTATGATGGTGGAAAGTTTCTACTCCTAATATAAAATTGCTTCGGACTTCGTCAAAGGAGAATTGGTGGTGATGAAAATTGATGAGCTTTGTTCTTTCCCATGCGACCGTGGATGGGTAAACTAGTGCAAAATTCTTGATAGGATTTGTGCGTGATATTTTTCTTCACCTAGTTAATTTTAAAATATTAGGTTATTGTATATGTATGGAATTACATTAATAGTAAGTGTTGATGTGTGACCTTTCCTACAAGATTACGAAATGTAATATACTACACAGAAGTTGAATGGAAAATTTAAGAAACAAAGATAATAAAATTGTTTACGAATTAGGTGTTTGCGTTAATATATTGGAGTTTTATCGGGACAAAAACTTGAAAGATAGAATAATTACCATTTCGAGGGTTGAAAGATAAATTTTATCAATATAAGACTTATATGTATCAAAACTATCAATCCAAGACCCATTGAAGTAATACAATTAGCAAACCCTTTCAACAAAGTTGATGTGGCCGTCAAAAAGTGATGTAGAGCGTATATTCGAACGAGAAATAAGAACATAAGAACACATATATCTTTTCTCAAATTCAACTATGACTGATTTTTATTTCTCTGCTAGATGCATAAATACAGAAGAAGAGTCCCACTCTCTTCAATTTACCCTAAATACTACATTTATTTAATAAATAGACCATTAATAATATCCCACTAAATACTACTAATAATAATAGAAATAAAATCTCATGACAATTAAACAGACCCATCAATCAATTAAATACGCAAACGGTCATACTTATTCAGAAACGCCAATGCGGTCTCGTCTCCATCATCCTCTCCGGGTTGGGCAGGATTCGGTCTCGAATCCGGCTGGGTCTCGTCTCCCTCAGAATTATCTCCCGCAAACGGCACGAGGTGTTTGACGTTAAAGACGTCAGATGTGCGAATATGAGACGGTAAACGAAGGCGGTAGGCATTGGGGTTGACCTTCTCCACAATCTCCACTGGCCCAATCTTCCGGGCAGACAACTTGTTATATTCGTGAGCCGGAAACCTGTCCTTTGTCAAAACAGCCCAAACATAGTCACCTACTTCGAACTCAACATGGCGTCTCCGAGAGTCGGCTTGTCGCTTGTAAGCCACCGTAGTAGCCTCCAACCGAGCTCGAACCGCCTCGTGAGTGGACCACAAATCAGAAATGAAATCGGCCGCACGGCGGTCAACCGAAGCTAATGAAGGGAGGGCAAGCAAATCCGACGGACCACGTGGCCGAACAGCATACACGACCTCAAAGGGCGAGTACCCCGTGGCCCGACTAGTGGCGGAGTTATGGGCAAACTCCGTCTGGCTCAACCGCTGGTCCCAACTGCGAATATTATCGCCCACCAAGCAGCGAAGTAAGTTGCCCAAGGAGCGGTTCACCACCTCAGTCTGTCCATCTGTCTGCGGGTGGTATGCACTGCTGAAATCCAGTTGTGTGTTCGCCATCCGCCACAGGCTGCGCCAGAAATGACTCAGAAAGCGAGTATCACGGTCAGACACAATCGAAGATGGCAGACCATGCAGACGATAAATCTCATGAAAGAACAACTGGGCCACATGAACGGCATCCGTCGTACGTTTGCATGGAATAAAGTGTACCATCTTGTAGAACCTGTCAACGACCACAAAAATGGAATCGAAGCCCCGCTGGGTACGTGGCAAACCCAACACAAAATCCATACTAACCGCACACCAAGGCTGTGAAGGTAAAGGAAGAGGCCTGTATAACCCAGCATTTGAAGCGATCCCCTTAGCAAGATGGCAAATGCGGCAACGCTCCACAAATCTAGCAACATCACGACGAAGGGTCGACCAAAAATAGGAACGACGAACCAAGTCAACCGAACGGTCACGACCGACATGACCAGCCCCATGAAGGTCAGAAATCAGCTTCAGCTGAAGACTACAATCCGGCACACAAAGGCGGACCCCACGAAAGAGAAACCCATCAGACAACACGTAATCCTCAAAAAGCCCGAGTGCCAAGGTGCGTACAATCGGGCTGAAAAAAGGGTCATCAGCATATACCTCCCGCAAAATATCAAACCCAATAACCGAAATGCGCATATCAGACAGAACAAGGGCACGCCTACTCAAAGCATCAGCCACCCTATTCGAAGCACCAGAACGATGACGGAGAACAAAGGTAAACTGCTGGAGGAAAGCCGTCCACAAAGCATGACGAGCAGAGACAGTATCCTGGGATGCCAGATGTCGCAAGGCCTCGTGGTCTGTGAAGAGAACAAACTCTCGGTGAAAAAGGTAGTGATGCCAATGCCGCATTGCCTGTACAACCACGTAGAACTCCACGTCGTATTTGTTTTATCTCAGTCTCGGGTCCGAGAGCTTCTCACTAATATAAGAAACCGGTCGTCCGTCCTGGCTGAGGACAACACCAATTCCCACCTTGGAGGCATCACAAGATAGCTCGAAGGGTCTCGAAAAATCAGGCAAGACGAGGACAGGAGCCGACGTCAACTTGCTCTTGATCAGAGCAAAAACAGAGTCCGCTTCGGGCGTCCACACAAAAGATTTGCCCGTGAGGCAATCTTAATCGGTGCCATGATGGTACTGAAGTTAGAGACGAAACGGCAGTAGAAGGAAGCGAGACCGTGAAAGCTCCGGGCCTCAGTGAAAGAGGTCGGAGTCGGCCAATCGCGAATGGCCGACACCTTGCTATCGTCAACACGAATCCCTTCACCCGAAATCACAAATCCCAGAAACAGGACAGAATCCACCAAAAAACAACATTTATGGGGAGCAGCAAAAAAAGAGTCTGCACGTAAAATAAGAAGTACCTCTCGGACGTGCTACAAATGCTCCTCCAATGTACGACTGTAGATGAGAATATTGTCGAAATAAACGACGACACTCTTCTCGATAAGATCCAGAAGTGCCTGGTTCATCACTCGCATGAAAGTGCTCGGCACGTTGGATTATTCAATCCCATTAAATAGGTGGGATATTTTAATCCCACGAATGAAATGACCCTTTTGTCCAAAAAATAAATAATATTATTTAATTTAAATAATTTTATTTAAATAAAAACTATTAAATAAAATTATTTAAATTAAAAAATATTATTTTAAAAAATATTATTTCATTTAAAAAAATTTATTCTTTTAAATAATTTAATTTAATATAAATAATTTAATTTAGTTTAAAAAAAGTTATTTAATCTAAATAGAAAATAATTTAATTTAATTATAAAAATATTAATTTAAAAAATTATTCAATTTTTAAGTTAATAATTTGAAAAATATTTTGCANTCTTATATTATATATATATATATATATATATTTTTTTTTTTATCTCAGATAACTACTTCGATAGTTCAGTTAGTTTAAATAATTTTATTTTTTGGAATTCATATTGAAAGGTAATTTAATTAATTATAAAGATAAATAAAGTAATTTATTTATTTTGTATGTATAATATAGATGTCAAATCGAAACTCATCATGGAATTATTAATTTGTTATAATATATAAAAAATTATAATAAATTTAAAAATTATTAATCTTTAAAATATATTTATAAAGAATAGAGAGTATATTTGTCTTTTCATTGGAATCAGAATTTTTTATCACCATTTGTAAATGCTTGATTAGCTTCGGAATATGTTGTATCATGTTATGTAAAATGAGACAAAAACCGATGTGTAAAGTTGATGGGATAAAACTATCTTATCCCATCCAGGTAAGTAAACGGGGCCTAGCTATTTTCCGCTACCTAGCATTTTTTTTTTGTTAGGGCAGGTCATCCCGCAGTGTAGATGCAGCCTAGGGATGCAAACGAGCCGAGCCGAGTCGAACATTGACCTTATCGAGTAGAATTGAATTTTTTTTAGCTGCTCGAGCTCGACTCGATAAGAAAATACAATAGCTCGCGCTCGGCTCGAGCTCGACTCGAAATTATATGCTCGAGCTCGGCTCGAAAATTTGTAAGTGAAATAACCATTAAACACTTGTGTTATACTACCTCCTTTTTAAATTAGATGTCGTTTTGACTTTTTTGATTCATCCATTTTGCTACGTATCTAGACATAAAAATATGTCTAGATACGTAGCAAAATGGATGAATCAAAAAAGTCAAAACGACATCTAATTTAAAAAGGAGGGAGTACTATTTAAATATATATAAGGGGTATTTTAGTAATTTAATATATATATATATCGTGCCGCTCGACAAGCCGTTCGACAATGCAAAATATGGGCTCAAGCTCGATTTGAGTTTGTGCTCGAGCCGCTAGAGCTCGATTCAAGTTCGGTCAAACTCGAGTTCGAGTCGAGCTTTAACTCGAGCACGAGCCGCTCGACTCGTTTGCAGCCTGCAGACTAAGCGGACTCAAATGTGGGTTGTGGAGGCTTTTAGACGCACCTACTTGTACTCGGCGGTGTTTATGGTTTACAACTTCCGCTACATTTTAGGGCTCCATCTCCCACTGTAAATTTAATCCCACTTCAATTTCCGGCCATCCTCTTTTACGTTCCTCAAATGGCAGTAGCTGCACACCCTCCACCATCCTTGGACATACTAGTAAGAGGTCCCGAGGGTTTTTCTATTTGGAACGGCCCACCCTTCACCAATGGCGAGCCCCGCGTGAAGCTCGATCAAACACCATGTACGACCACAAAGTTCAGCGAGGATGGATCGAGACTCATGGTTGTTCGATCGGATTCTGTCGTCAGCATCTACGATTCGAGGAAATTGGTCGAAATAAGGTCTTTGCAAGTGCCCAATGTTCTTGCCGCCAGTATATCCCCATGTGGGACTTACCTTCAGACCTTTCAGAAGTCTACTGGTCCGCAGGATAAAAATGTGGCTTTGTGGAAGGTGGACAATGGTGAATCGGTTTATCAAATGTTCCAGAAGAACATGACGAAAGCCACATGGTAAAACTTCTCGAGGGCTAACTTTTGGTTATGGAGTAGATGGAAACCGATTTTGGCTAATATTTGTTTTTTTCCCCATCTTTTTTTCTTCTTTTGTAGGCCGGCAATCCGGTTTAGCTCTGATGAAGCTGTAGCGTGCCGCTTGGCGACAAATGAAGTGCAATTCTTTGACCCTAAAGATTTATCCAAAGGGATTGTTCATAGGTTTAGAGTACCTGGAATTGCTGCTTTTGAACTTTCAAGGAATCCTGGGTCGTACTTTGCCTCATTTGTTCCAGAATCGAAGGTTACATTCTACAACATTGTCAAAGATAATTGCACTCTAAAACTTGATTGTATTCGTTCATTGTTTATATTCTCATTGATGCTTTGATTAGTTAATTATCTGTGTCTATTGTAACCGAAATTCGACTGTGTCAGTCGCAAGATTACAATACATTCATGTTGACCTTCGTGATCTTACTTTGAGTCAATAATTGAGCCGTGAACTTTTGTCAAGGCATTAGTTAGTACAATCCCAAACAAAAAAAGGAATGCACTTTTGTAAATTGTAGTTTCAGTACTGGTGGATCTTTGAAGGAATGAAATGTGTCCTTAGCAGTGTCTACTAGCTTGAGGTTTATCACAACTATTGTATGTCTATGAAGTTGCTGAAAATTGGATGTTGAGCGAAAATGTAATAAGACATGATGGTGCTAATCTTCAACCTTTCTGTTTTCCTATACAACCTTGCTGAATTGACATAACTTTCTGTTAGGTGTCTGCCACTTCACAGAATAGAACGTAATTATACAGTATCTCATTAAATTGTTTGTGTAGGGAATGCCAGGGAATGTTCAGATATTTGCTTGTGCAAAGGAGTTGCAGAGTCAACCTGTTGCTCGGAAAAGTTTCTTCCGGTGTTCGTCAGTACAATTGAATTGGAACTATGGTTCCACTGGGCTCTTGATTGTTGTGCAGTCGGATGTTGATAAAACAAATCAGAGTTACTATGGAGAAACAAAGTTAAATTATCTGACGACAGATGCATCTTATGAAGGAATCGTGCCGCTCCGTATGTGCAGCTCTTTCCTTTTTTCTTATCATATGATTTGACAAGTTAAATCTATTTAAATTCTTCTGTCAACAATCTAATGCATTGTTAATGGTTTAGTAATATTCACATTCACCATATTGTTCTTGCATACTTTGGCAGGTAAGGAAGGGCCTGTACATGATGTTCAATGGTCGTCTTCCGGAAAAGAATTTGCTGTAGTTTATGGATGTATCCTTATTTTCTTCTCTCACCAAGTTGAGGTGTGATTTCAACAAGTGGTGTAGGAACAGAAAATGTTAAACTAGCAATTTCTTCATTATTTTTTTGTGAAAGCCAGAGACTAAAGGCTATTCTTTCTTCCATCCCGTGTGATTATTTAATTACACTGAAAGAAGAAGAAACGAGGTTCTCGATCCTTCGGATTTTAAGTGTTGCCCTTAATGTATTTCTTAATATATAGATTGATATTCATGTTCTACTTCATTTTTTAATCGGCCTTTTTTTATTGTTTTGAATTTTTGGGTCTATACGCTATTTCCCTTCCTTGACCTAGTTCAGTTATGCCTGCAATGGCGACGATATTTGACAAGAAGTGCAATCCATTACTAGAGCTTGGGACGGGCCCATACAATACAATTAGGTGGAATCCAAAAGGAAAATGTATCCTTTCATAAACTAATGATATTTGCTATTCTCTCTCTCTCCCTCCCTCCCTGTCCCCAGGTTGCTTATATTTGTTTGTCCTTAAAATATTGTACAGTTATATGTTTGGCAGGGTTTGGGAATTTACCTGGTCACATGGTTCATTCTTTATCACTTGATCTTTTTATTCCATTATGTGATACTGATAATATTTCCGCAATAAGTTCTCAATTATTTGTCCAATTTCGATCAGCATCTTACTCCTTTTATTTTTGTTTTAATTTTATTTTCTCTCATTTGTCTATTATTAGTGCACTTACTTGATTGGCTTTCTAACTTGTTTTAACTTCTTTATTTTGATGCTTGCTTAGCACAATCATGCCAATTTCTAAAAATATTTTCTTGAGCATATGGACGATTATGTTCTTTACTTCTATTTCAGGCTTTTAATTTGCCAAGATATATGAAATAAGTATGATGAGAAAACTATGGAAGTTGTGACAGTGAGCTCCATGGGTATAATTGTGTATTTTGTTTTCATTTAAACTTTCATAATTCAGGATTTGGTAAGACTAAGATCCACATACTGGCGTAACACACTAAAAACAAGTAGGATGGTTGACATTTGGAGTCGAATAACTTACGTAAAAATTTCAAAATTGCAATGTGTTGCTTGTAGTATAAGTTAGTCAAATATTGTTACTCTGTTATTGTGTATTACTATTAGTCAAAAAAGTTAACTCCTCAAGTAGAGGCTAGTAAAAAAGCAAAAAGTGGGTGCAATGTGCACAGGTGGGTGGGTATTTGACATGATTTTTCTTGGCATTGAAGATAGTCAGTGTTGTGCAACAATGGAAAATATGTGTAATATTAATGAGTCAGTATATGGTTTAGTAATGGAAAATAATTCTGTACAGTAGTGTACAGATGTATGTGCATCCTGAAGTCCGTTCAGGGGATGTGTGAACACATGTGAAAATATGTGTAGGTTTGAAAATAAAGTTTATAGATTAAATGAGTTGCATTTCTGATGAACCAGATGAAAAATGCTAGTCTCTCATTTTCAATAAAGGCGGAAAGAATTTTCCCTGGAAGGTCTTTTTGTAAACATCCCAGTGAAATTTGTATCCTAGTCTTTTTTTCCATATGCATCTCATTTTACCTTAGATGATAAAGTGCTTTTATCAGTTTTATGTCACCGAGTCTTTACTGGGCACTATGCATCAATTATATTAAATTATTTCTCTTGTTTAGGCTTTCTGGGATTATTTGGAAAAGAAGAAATTAGGAGAAACCAAAGCTGAACTATCTGTGTCAAGTGAATGGTCGCCAGATGGACAATATTTTATGACTGCCACCACAGCTCCAAGACTGCAGGTCGACAATGGGTATGTGGAAGAGTGAAGCTTCGTGTAGTTTTCTAAACAAGTCATCTATAAAGCTTTAGTCTCAGTGGTAGAAACTATGAATTGTTAATGTTTTAAAAAAATCCACAGCCTCAGACAACTTAACTGAAAGGACCATTTGATATAGTTAGGACAGACATTATCTTGTTGGAAGTTCTGAAAGAAAACTTTTATCTGATTGCTTTACTTGGATCCTGAATGGTATCAGTTGCTTCTAGTCGTGAATTATAAATTACTCAAAAAATCTCTCTAGTTCTTCTTTCTTTCTTTTTTTTTTTTAATTTT